ATGTATCAGTGCCCTGGGCAGTGCAGAATAAAATTCACTTGTTATTTATGCCAGAGAAGATGTTATGATGCATTGTTTGTCTTGTCTTGCCTGCTCCACTAAAGCCTCATGTTTATATGGATGGACATTTCATCACATTTTCACCATGAAATTGTTAGACTGCCTTCAATAGAGTGGTCTATCTCCTTATCTTCCTCACCCTGGAAGTCATTTGCATCGAAAAATACAACCTTTTAACTCATCCTATCAAAACATCTTTCCAAGTTGCAGAGTGCTGGGAATCACAGTAAACTAATAAATGTCAATGTTTTGAAAAGTGCCGATCTTTGGCTCTCTGGATGAAACATTGCAGTCCTCTGAGAGAAAAACTGTAGAATATGCAACACCGTGCATTTTCTGAAAATCATCAGCCGGTCAGTCTATGAGAGCGAACACCAAAGTGATGATTAAATTTGCCAAGGAGAGAGAACCATGGAGAGCCCTTTACGACCTTTACTGCCAACAGTCTAAAAGAACAGCTAGGGCACACAAGAGAGAGAGAGAGAGAATGAGAGAGAGATGAGAAAGACATTTTATTGGAGCTAACTTTTCAATTTTGGCGTTTTCTTGGTAGCAGGTCAAATTTAACTTTCTTTGACACCAAAATCTGACATTTATCAAATCCCATATTGCATTGCAATTGTGGGGATACGAGGCACTCGCAAATACACATATATATGACTTGTTATACATCACTGAGTGTGACCAGATGTGTTCGTTTGATGTCTACATGCACATGCACATCACGTGTGTCAGGTTTTACTTGAATTCAACATTTAATCATTTGTTTACAGTTCACGGCCACTGGACATCTTCAATGTCATATATCAAGTTGCCAAGAAATGACATCAAGTAAAATGTTTTGACAACCTTGCATGCAGTGAAAGATAAAGCAGGGTAATTACTAGGACATGAATGCATAGAAAATTGATTTTTCAGAATTGGAGAGATAATGCAACTGAACACTTTTATGTGTTGTAAATATGCAGCTATGATGTGCAGGAGTAGATCCAGGGTTTCCAAGGGAGGGGGGAGCTTTATTAACCCCCCCCCCCCGCTCCCCCACCCTAAAAAATGTGTGTATGGTTTGCAGACCAGCAAAAAACACTCGAGCCGCAAATTCATCCTTTGATGCACGTCCAGCATGGATTACAAAATAATACATGTACATTCTGAATGATATTCCACTTTTTTTCTCATTTAAAAAATAATTAATTTTAAGTATCAACATGTGCCTTTAAATACGAAGCAATGTTGCATGATTAAAGCTTGCGTGGTGCTTTGAGATATGCATGTGGGGCAGGACACGATATTAGACACGGCTTCAGATTTTAACGAGTAATTGGCCACATTTCGAATACCTCTGGGCCTGTTGACAATTCCTACGAGATCAGGATACTTCAATAGAATAAACTCCTCTATCTCTCTCCAACAAATGTTATTGATTTTGTGATCATGCCTTTTTGTATTCAGTCTAAGCTTCCATGTTTGAGTGAAATGTCTATTAGGATGTCTATTGAATTATTTTTGGTGTAAATGAGGATAGGTGGCTCAGGGAGGGGGGGGCTGTACTCCTGAAGGTATGAGTGGTGGGTTCTATCCATGGACAGATCACACCGCAGTCTGTTTTGAATATTTCAATAAACTGAATATTTTATTAATGTATTAATATTTGGTTGCTGCACAGGTACAGAATAAGTATATGTATATTTATATAGGTATAAAGACTAGATACGGTAACTACTAGTGTTGATAGTATAAATATGCAAGGCACTGACTTGGCCAGATTAAAAAAAGGAAACTTGATTCTAGACAGCATATACAAATAATGATGGGAACAGTGAGTCAAATATTTTGTATATAGATGGTCATTAAAAAATGTATTGCAAATCAAAAATTCATTGCAAAAAGTAAAAAAAATAAAAAAGAAACAAAAAGCTATCCACCTGTCTGTTTGAAGGCTGTCAAAATATTCCCCTCTGCACCTAACCGTTAATTGCCACTTTTGTGCCCAAGCCAGGAGAAAATAGATTTAACTTAAACATTACCGTCATTTTTATTCATCCAGAAATCACACAATTAATTAAACTAGTCTGCCTTTCAAGATTCCTAATTTTAACAGGTTTTGACAACGAGATCGATATATTTAGCAAAGTGTCATTTATGTGGTGGAGGAATCCTATTAAGGTTTGTACTCAATTAAAAGGGGTTAGAAACTCTTGTTTTGACAGTAGATTTGGTCTAGTAAACTCAATTTCCAAGGAAGCTAGGGAAATCAGAAGTACTTTCTGTCTATACTCATTGCATTCTCCTACACTGGGGTGCTTTTTCTCTTGCATTTTGTTAAAACCGGTGCATTGTTTGTTAAGTTCTGTCTAGAATTTGAACTGTAATGATACCCAGATTGTAGCCAGCGATATCAAAGGGGGTGTTCTTTTTTTCTGGAAAAGTGGACTTTTTACCATGAAATTTTATTGTACCTAGAGAAAATTTTACCCAGAGTGGACCTTTTCCCAGCAAAAAGGGGGTTCTTGCAAACCTCCCGAACCCCACCCCCTGGCTATGGGCTCTGATACAGTGTCACATTTACCAGCTCTCTGCACTACCAAATACAATGATATTATAAATAATAATAATAATAATAATAATAATAATAATAATAATAATATTTACTGCCACAGTGTTACTTCTGCAGGGATTGACAAAGGTGACAGTTGCAAGAGCTGTATTTTGGACATTAATTGATGGATGTCATAAATCCCAAGCGTGAAATTCAAAGTTGCATGACTATTTCCTTAAGTAAGTTTGAAATACAGTATTTTTCCTAAAATGGCTGAGCAAATTAAGGCCCAATGCTGCCACTGACATTTTTTCTGCGACTGTAATTGCATCATGTCCATACAGAGGTCAAAATGAATGTAAACATCAACTTGTTTCCCAGAATTGTTCTCAGATGGTACAGGTCCGGGAGGGCTACCCTGGCATTTCTGGGGAACACTCCGGTTCCAGGAGGAACAAATTGCCAGGACGATGTGATATTTAAACTTGCAATTGAATCAATTTTCAAAGCTTAGGTTTGCTTTTGTTTTGTTCCAATGGTATATTTCACCATTATTCTGACATTTTTATCAAGCTATTTATCACCAGTGGGTCATGTCATTGGCCATGGTCTCCTGATGGTGCCGGTGATTGAAGAATCCATTTGAGAAGTACAAATTTACCCAGTACAAATCTTTAAACATGCATTTTCTTCTAAGGTCTGAGTTTAAATGCAAATTAAACATACTAGTAAGTGCATCATTTCAAACAATTGGAAAAGGAATACATGTCCCAAAGGTACTAAAACAACCCCATCCCCCCCCCAACCTCCCTAACATGTTATCTGAATTTACTGAAGTATTTCTTGTGCAGTCAACTATTTCAGACTGATTTTATCGTAAAAATCAAAAAAGATCCACCAAAATGTAACTTAAAATTTGTAATTGATTTAATAGAATCAATTTTGTCTTGGTGATTGTGATGGTTCATTAATTTACACCAATGTGTTTGTGTTATTATGCTTTTTTTTCAAACTTAAGTACATTGAAGATTTTCCTCAAAATTTTGATTCATTAAGATTTACATCGCAAAGGAGACATTGCATTCACTTTTATGTTTAAAATTACGATGAACATGATCTGACATCTAGAATTTATGCCTGGCTCCACTTTTGTAGATCCAGCTTAAAATTTGAAAAGACCATCAGCTGCAATCTCAGTAAACATGCCGCTACTCTATTTCTTTTGTTTTCAGGTATTATTCTACTGCTGTTAACACCATAAAGAGTAGATTTATACATCCTTAGAACTTTCAGAGCCTGTGTGTTGAACACGAATAGATGTACGAACTTCTTGGTAATATGTTTCTTTTGATGTGCCATATCAGACAGACAGCAGATGCTGTGAGTAAAATGGCTGAACTTGGATTATCCCTGTGTTTTTGATTGCGTTTCTACCTATGCAGTGCAAACGCAGGTCACTTCAATTTGTTCCATGGAATTTAATTAACAAATGCTGGGTCAAAAGGGAGTCACATTGACGACTCTAAAATGTTTAGCTGGCCACTGCGGTGTCGCAGATGAATAGGGTTATTGTTATTATGTCCAGGGAAAGTGTTTTCTTGTACTTGTTGTGCAGAATTCTATAATTATGCAGATTTAATTCTCCTAAGTGATAGATGTTCATTTAATCAATGATAAAGATGCTGTTGCTGCACATTTTACATATTGTAATACTTGTGATACTGTGATATATGGAATACAATCAGCTATATTTACTGTCATCTCCCAAGGAAAGTGTCTCAACAGCAGGAAGCATTCAGGTCCAACTCTACAGGGATCCTTGCATAAGTGCAGTCATTGTAATCAGCTTAATTGTCTGATGTGCCTCCTCGACCACCAAGGGGGTAATTAACTATTGTGCGCGCTTGGCTCTGTAAGCTGATTACAATGAATGCACTTCAGCGAGAATCTCCCATAGCTCAGTTGGATTGATTCAACTAGTAGAATGTTTTTATCTGAAAGCGGGTTCATTCATGATATTTCAGTTATATCATGAAAAAAAAAATTGCGATATTAAGTCCTTGGCGACACCTAAGTAGACCCAGCAAAAGGGGTTTCTAAATATTTACTAGTATGTTTTATATTCTTTTAATAATATTTTGAAGATAATACAAAGTCTGTAGAATGATGCAATGTCATAAGGTTTATAATTCCAGTTTCCATTTTCACCTGTTTCCAGATGTTGCTTCCAAGATAAGTGGTGTTATAGTCTACAAGCTGTTTGAAAGTGGGAAGGAATATGCTAAAACCAAAACACAGAAATAATCTTGCTGACAGTTTGTCAAATATCTTTTTTTTTTGTGATTAACAAAAATTGTGATGAAAAAAAATGTCATATAATTTTATTTCTTTTGTGTTTCAGCTTTTCTTGGCAGGGGTATTTGGCGCCATCTTCTTCTGTGTGGCTGAAAACAGATATTATTATAGCGGCAGCTGTAAGCTATTTGTGATAAAGGTGAGTATGATAGTTGACACACGCATGCATGCACACACGTACGCACACTCATGGATACTTTTAACATGTCCATGTGTCTCAGTACTGCTCTTAATAACTTGAAATTTGGGTGAATTTGCAGCCATCAAATCATGAGAGAAAATAAACAAAAGTGTCTTGTTAGAAGAAATTTTTTACAGCATCATTAAATATTAGTTTTCAAGAAAAGCTAGACAATCAAAATATTTGGAAAATTATAGCAACACTGCATGTACATTTTGGATAAAATTCATTTGAAAACCATAACTCTAAGTACAAGAATCCAAACAAAAAAATTTGCTGAAAGGTTAGAAATTCTGTATTATTAGGGACCATTCCCAGACCGTATCGTACTAACTTTGGATCAATCTATCGCCTAGGGATTTCTCACTGAATTGCAATCAACTTAAGCGGTTTAGATGTCTGTCATGCCCACTGCAGCTGATAGGGGGTAATTAACTATCGTCTAGCAGCTTTAGTAGGCATGTCAGACAACTAAGAGCGCATTCTCAACGAATTAAGCCAGGCTTTACAAAGCCGGTGACCTAAAAATGGAGGACGTACATGAAAGAAAAACCGCCTAATCTTTTAATAGTCTCTCCGCCTCCCCCCACGTCGTCCCTGCGGGGTACAGTAATTAAATCTCGGCTCCGTTCGCCATGCGGAAGCTACCTGAGAAATATTAAGTGCGCATGCTCATCAGTTAAACTCGTGGTGAAGAAAGCATGGCGGCTGAAGGCGATCGAAGGAAAAAAGCTCTTCTGTTCTATTATCTTTGAAAACAGAGACGAAAAAGGAATAATTTGGCCCGTAGAGCAGCAATGAATCGACTATCTACGGAGATAATATCACCAGAGATATTCACGGAAATATTAATGTTCGGAACCGAGATTTAATTACTGTACCCCGCAGGGACGACGTGTGGGGAGGCGTGTGAGAGGCGGAGAGACTATTAAAAGATTAGGCGGTTTTTCTTTCATGTACGTCCGCCATTTTTAGGTCACCATCTTTGTAAAGCCTGGCTTAAATCATTGAGAATGCGCTCTAAGCTGCTTAAGCTGAAAGCAATTTTGCAAGAAACCCCTTGGAAATGGACCGATCCTGTTAGATCGATCTAGGTATGGGAATCCAGTCTTAGAATGTGTGTAAACCCAAGTACGTCATCTGCAAAGTTTCAGTAGTCATCAGAGATCATATTCTTGGCGCATATGTTCACACATTAGATATTACTACTGTTAACACCAAAAAAACATGCTCCAATTTCAGCAAACACTTCAGTCGTGTGTTTTAACAGTGGAGTATTTACATAACCTATTAGTTTGAAGCATGTAGCTCCTACCACTACATTTTGCTACACTTATCATTTGAAGTGGAAAACTCTGCAAATCTCCACATGTGGTAGAACGTGCTTATTGCTGAAAGAACTGAGATTCTTTGGGTAATCTTGGGTATTAGTAGGTTTCAGTGGTCCTAGTGTACATTTAATTGCAGCACTACAGGTAGCTTAGTTGCACAGAGTGATGCCCTTTTATACTAACGGTTCTCATAATTGAATATCTCATAAAATGCCAATGAGCGGACTTACAATGATTTAAAGGAAGACTGTTGTCTATTCTTCTTGGCAGAGATATTGTTTTTCTTTGCTTATGAGTGCTGCCAATAAAGATGATGGTTTCTTCAACGTGTGTGTGTGTTTGTTAGCTAGTGGACATCTCAGAAAGTTCCTCACAAATTTTGATGATATTTTCGGATGTTCAGTCATTTCAGGATTAAAAGATGTGATAACTAATTCAGTTGAATCCATGTTTCCTGACAGTTTTAAAGAATTGTTTACTGCCAAGGAAAATTGCAAAAAATGTCATTAAAACAAGAGAACGAAGTAATGAGAAGAATTTGGGAGCAGTGTTATTCTAATGAATATATTTGGCATCAATGTAAAATAACCCTATTCACTAACAGGAGTGTATTTCATGGCTGAAGTAATCACCCTTTTCTTGAATTATTTGACTTAAATGTCATATTAAAGAGCAAAGCTCAAAAACTCCAAGGCATACGTACGTATTTATGCAGTTGCTACTGGTGTACAATAAATTAATTATTCAATAAAATGTAAACCTTTGGATGAGATCTGACCATTGACAGAAACACAGTTCAAGATCCTGTTTATTCTTCCTCTCCCCCTAAAAAAATTATTCCATTTAGAAAAAAATCAATAGGATACAGTATTTGACATTTTGTTGCAAACAAGCTTGCTGTAAAAAAATATAAGAAGAAGAAAAAAAGGCCCAATCGATTGCGCAACCAACCATTTCTGCAGTGCATTTTAACATGTGAAACGGTGCAGTTGCTGTTGGTTGGCATTTACCACGGTTTATAGATAATAATAAAAAGGAGGAATTCGAGGAGCAGAAAATTTAGGTTACAATACATCGATGCCAAAGTTGTCTAACATTGCGTGAGCCCCCAAAGTCATTGAGATGCCTCTCTAGGAGATAGAGCTGTGAAGATAATATAGAGCTAACATTGTGATAACAGGAACACATTTGCCCTCCACATTGCACTAAGTGGGTGCGTTTAGACCCAGACATAGTCCCAATCCAGTATTGGGTCATGCTCCGAGTTAAATGAGATTGAACCAGCTTGGTTTAACTTTGACCTTTCTCAGTCAGCCATTTGTTTAAGATATGGTCACCACAGGAAGTACGATTAATAGATGAAGACTAAAATACCTAAATTACAATTGAAGAATGACACCATGCACTTGTGTATTTCTCCCCTTGCACAATTCCTATACAAGTTAGCTTTTGGCCCCATGTAGTGACTCTCTCACAAAAAAGCCAGTGTATTCAGTTGTCTATCTCTCCAACTGATCCATTCCAGTCCAGTTATGTATACCATTCCATGTGAAAAAAAAGACCTAATTTTAAACTTGACAAAGCATGGTTTTCGGTCTAAGTCTGACCTTGTCTGAATGCACCCAAAGTTCTGTGTGGTCTACATGGAGCTGTGTGTAATATTCTGTAAACACAGGAACCAATGTAGTGAGTTCCTTCTTTTTTTGTCTTTCATAAAAGATGTGCAAGGTCAGCCTTAAAGATATAATTGGTAAATCTAGCATATAAGAAATGGGCAGAGAAGGATATCCATTCCCCCCCCCCCCCCCCCCACACACACACACACACACACACAGGCTACAAATTTACGGATAGTTTACATTATTCCCACTCTGTTGGTTTCCAGCTCATTTGACGGTTTCAGAGACAGACTGTTCTCCTTCCTCAGCGTTGTGCATCTGATAGCTGCAGGTGCTCTCACATCTATAATAATAATAATATGTATTTATTTGCAACTTAAAAAGTTGAATTTTACAATAAAAACAAATAGTGGTGAGATGCACAATCTTAAAATTTACTTGTAAGTGTTAAAATGATTCGATACACATTAAATATCTGATTAATTCTTTGACAAAATCACCCTTTTTTTCATATTTAAGTTTCTGTTAGAAAATTTTTGGCTGAAGATCCTTTATAAAGCCCATTTTCATAGTTCTTTATGTTATGCATAAGCAGTCTTAACATGTTGGTTATATATATTTTAGGATTAAGATTACAGTGTATTCATTTTCAAAGCTTTTCACTTGGTCAAAACGTGAAATTAGAGAAGTGCCTCTATCTGTCTCAGCATGGTGTATTTATCAAAACCCTAGCTTGTATTGCCATCAGATATTGTGTTCAACAGATTGAACTAAGAGAACATCTAACACATTCTGTGACTGAAGTTCAGTTATCCTCAACTAACACAGTACATTTGCTTGTTTTAAATTTTTAAAAAATTTTATTATATTTCGTCTGGTTGGTTTATAATTTCTTTTTGTTTGTTTAAAAATAGGTCAAAATCTTTTTTTTCAGTTGAATTAAAGTAGTAAAAGACGTATGTTTATATGGTGTATCATAAAGGTGTATCTATCTGTGCATATTATAATTGCAAAAAATGACAGAAGCTCTTTTTTGTACATAATTTTCTTTTTATTTTTTCAGGCAGTGGTTTTTACCCTGTCCGCCATAAGTGTATTTGTGTGCATCGTAGCCAGTATATTCCCGGGTATCCATGGTCGCCGTATCGCACAGTACACCGGAGACTGCGTAAGAACTAATGAAATCTGTTACTGTCATCTGGGTGATGACAACGGGATGGTGAGGGTGTACGCTTACCCTCACCTTCTTGACTGTCGTCCTGAGACTTTCACCAGTATAAAAGATAATCTCATATTACAGTGTGCTCTCAACGCCATTGGCTGTGGGGTTTCAATATGGCTTGTTGTGCTTCTCTGGCAGTCTCGCTACCAGAATTACCCATCAGGACTTCGCTTTTATTCCTACAGCGCAAATTCACATCACCCTTGGATGGAAACGACGAATAGGCCTGCATATTCCACTCCCGTAGACACGCCCTCTTTCGACAGAAAGTTATCACAGAAGCGCCTCCTAGCGAGGCAGCAGAAAGACGAGGAGGAAGAGGAACAAAAACGGAAGTGCATCGCTAATGGTCAGCATCCTTCAGATACGTATAAATCTGACCAGGCTGACCAGCAAACTGCTCTGTTAGCCAAGAATGAAAGATCTGCAGATGACGAAGTTGTGATTCATTAAACCTCTCCGAACCTCAAACAAAAAATGCTCCATCATCCTATTAGTGATATGTACTTTATTTGAATACGGCACTCAAAGATTTGGACTTGTGAAACATTGTCCTTGATACTGGCAGAATTAGAGTTCTATATTTTCAGAGAGCGCTTTCAGAACAGCCGACTAACAGATCCGCCCACTTGAATGCTTGTTGTGTAATCCCAGCAGGGAACGTATTCAGTGTCTAATCAGGAATTAAGCGACAAGCTAAATAGTGGGTCGCCATATTTGATCCATGGATCTGTTAGTTCGCTGTTCTAAATGCACTTATAATTAACTACTGGTGAATATGTTATCCAGTAAAAAATGATTCATTTGACCAAGAACCTTTCTTACGTATTTATTGCTTCCTGTACTGCTAACGATGTATGGTTTCTGTATGTATATAGTGAAAATTTTTCAAAGAACTACAAAATATTAATTTGCTAACAACACATAAGTCTTTGCCTTTAAATAATTTTCTACATTTATTTTCCAATGTACTGGCTTAGCGTAAGTTTGAAATTTGTCTGGATTTCATATATTGGAATGTTACCTTTACCCGGTGGAGAAAAGAAGGAAAACTGCCTTGAACTTTGCACATATATTTATATATATAGTGTGTGACACATTGAAGCTCACATATACTTTATAATATTCAGAAGGTCTTGAAATATTTTGTATATGTTGGTGATTGAACATGGCATTGTTATTCAGTTTTATACCAAATTACAATACTCAGAACTACACATACCTCTTTATTGACTAAATCAATAGGTGCTTGCTTCAATAATTATGGACCATTGTTTAGTCAGAAACCAATGTATAGATGCAAGAATGGTGTTTGCATATTTTTAATCCTACTTCAGATAGCCCCCCCCTCCTCCTGCACCCAAAGAGGAAAAATACTTGTATTCCTTTAACATTCCTTTGAATGAGTATAAGACAAGTTAATTTATCAATTAACCTTGTGCACATGTGTGGAACCATGTGTGCTGAAGTGAAAAGAAAAAATGAAATTCAGGGGCTTCCAAGGACATTGTATCAGTTGTATTTCTCACACAGTTAGGCCCTGTATTGTCAGTATAATACAAAAAATATTGTTTTTGGACAGTTCAAGTTTTTTTTGTTTTTTTTTTTTTTTTTAGCATATAGTGTTTGTGGATATAGATGTCACCTCTATTTGTTGTTTATTTTTAGCAGTGACATTAACATGTGCGGTATTGCATAATGGGTCTTTTTCCACTTCATATGGTAAATCCATTTGATTTAAAACCTATTTTACAGGAAAAAAAAGCTTGAAAAAGTTGGAGTCTTGTCACAGGTCTTGGATGAATAATTTTTTTTTTCTGCTCTTCTAAATCACTGTGTGAACATTTGCAGTCTTTGCTGTCTACTGGTATTTAAGAGAAATATGATGGGAAGACAGAAGAACAAAAGTAAATATATTGATTGCATTACATCATGCATGATGTAACTAAGATGTGTGGCATGACTCGTATTTTATCTGTAAAACTATCCGTTAGATTTTTAATTTGTAAACATTTATCCTGCAGTTACCACATCACCTGTACTTGATCAATAGATAGAACTTCAAGTCCCTGTTAATCCATTTGGTGTGATGACGTATAGTATTTTTATTTAAATTTTGTGGTATTTTGACATATGTGACTGCTAAAAGTTTACAGTTGTTTACATAATATTATGAGACTCATATCTGGGTTTTGTACTTTGTTGATGTTTGTTCTCAGTTTTTAGGAATTCATTGGAGAGATAAAATTTAATGTGATATGGCATTCACTTAAACATCTACTCGTATTCTTGTAGGTACATGTACCACCCAAATGAAGCATGCTGTAAACTTCTGCAGGGTATTGCAGTTGAAGCGTGAAATTTATTTATTTATTTATTATTTTTAATATAATCATTTTTGTCTACTAGTCTTCTATTATGTCTGGACAATAACAACCTTAATGTTTCTAATGTTCAGATCTCATTTTTTCCATGTTTGGGGATTAGATTATTAACTGTGCTTAACTGGGGTTTTTCAAAAGATTTCCTTGCCATTTAGAATTGCACATGTTAATTTCGGATGTTTATAAAAATGCAAATATTTCTCAACAGTTGATAATGATTTTAAAAAAATAAGCAAATTGTGCTGTGGTGTGATTGTTGTTAAAAGCGGATGTTATCTACCATGAAGTTAAACACATGGTTAAGTACTTCTCTAACTTTCAAATTGTCTTTCACCAACTGCAGCTGCTGTCACCATACAAGTTTTGGTTTATTACGTTTTAGGCCTCCCCCCTCCCCAACTCTTGTGGCTCTTTCCTCAGTGAGTGTACACTTACGCAATGTCTGCACCAGTTCATTTTGCTCAGTAGGCATATTTTATTTCTTCCATTAAATGATCCTCACTGAATACTTCTTGTGTGTCTGTTATCAATGAATATGTGACCATTCATCTCCCTGTGGTTATTTAATAGGCTTCTTATGGGACATAATGAATAATTAAATGTTAACAAGATTTTTTTACTAAAAGTTAATTTTTGTTCTTTTCATGGTTATTTTAAAGTTTTTTAAATGTAAAAAATAGATGTAATATTGTTATAGATTTTGGTGTTAAAAAGGAAGATAAAAACTGCATTAAAGGTATCCTTTATTTCTTATGTGTCCTAAGAGAGGCCACATTGTATGTGATCTGTATTGCTCTTTTCTATGAAAAGCATATTGAAAAGAAAACCTTATCTTTGAGTTCCTAGTTTTCTCTAGTCTCACAGTTTTGATGGCAAGGTGAACCAACTGTTAAGTTGTTTTACACATCTAAATTTAGTTCATAGTTTTTTAATCAAAATGTTCAACATTGGCTGAATGTGGCAGTTTTGTGGGTACTGAATGAATCCTAAATATTCTGATAATTGTTATAATTGTAAAATGACCTACAAGTAATACAGTTTTTTTTAAGTGTAACTATTAAGGGAATTTACTGCTGCTTACAGGGGCAATAGTGAGAAAAATCTGAACATATTCGATATTGGTGACTACTGGAAGTGTACACCTGTCTGATTGACTTTAGTATTTCATATCACCATTTTCCTGTTGCTCCGTTTATTAGATCTTAGCTGTAATTATAACCCAGGACTCAGTTTAGTGGGTCCTACAACTTACAAGTACTTGTACTAGTAGATATAACCTCCAAGGCACCTTAAACTTGGTGCAGTGTGCTTTTCTGTTCCCTACCATTTGACTGGTTCTTAAATGTAAGGGGGGGGGGGGGAGAGAGAGAGAGATATAATACTCCTTTTCACAAGTTCCAACTTCCTGTTACGACCCATCCCAATTAATCTGGGGAACTACTAGTTGTGTTGAGTGTGGGGGCTCTGCAGAGATAATTTTTTTTTTTTTTTTTTTTTTTTTTTTTTTTTTTTTGTAATAGCCAGCTGCCTATTAAATATCCAATGTCTTGAAATGGTAAGAAACAGAAAAGAGTACTGTAAGATGTGAAAAGAGTCTTATGATAAGCATATATACTAAAAGTGCACTGTTGGAATGTTCCCACAATGTGGAACTGATTGCTAAACAGAATATACATGTATGAGTATTTGTACCCGGAGTGTATTCTGTATACCAACTTTGGTTGAAAACTGTGTATTTGTTATAATATTGTTATTATGGTATAAGAATGAGGGCCTCTTGGGATTTGCGCTGTCACTGTCTATAAATACATATCCATGTATATGTATGATACAATGTACCTTCTTACCAAGGATGGATTTTTAATCTCTTTGATAATATCAATAAATTGTATTTTATATTCTTGTTGTTATACTATGTTCTTGTTGTTATGTTTGACATTTATATCTTGAGTTAAAAATGGGGGGGGGGACTAATTTTTAAATAATTTTTTGAAACTGATTGGCATATGTTATGCCAAAATTGTGTCATATTCAGAACATTATTTTTCAAAACTGGTTAAGTTGTTAAAACCAGCATAATTACGCTCAGGTCTGAATCTTATGGAACTTTTGGCAATAATTGGTCATTTGCAAGAAGTCAGAAGGTTAGATAAATGACATAAGGCACATTCAAATTCACAAGCCTTTATAGCTGGTAGGTCCAACTTACTCTGCAGGGGATTCTCGCTTAAGTGGAATCAACTAATGCACCATGGTTAATTACCCCCTAGCAGCTCGAGGAGGTGTGTCAGGCAATTAAGCTCATTCCACTGATTGCACTTAAGTGAGAATTCCCAAAAGGGAGAAAGATGGACCGACCCAGCTTGCACGATGGGTGAATTTGAATGCGGTCTTTGAGACCTATATCTGCTTATAAGTTATATAGCTGCACTGCAAAACGCCTGAAACACCAAAATTCAACATTATGCCTTCTGGACCTGTTGAAACCTGCATGTTTGACAACTTAATAGCCTGGTTATTACGTAAGAAAGTCACTTAAACGGAGTCCCCGCGCTCGTCACGGCCGATTAACTAACTAAACCCGAGCTTGTCGGACTTTGTGGAGGGTGGTTTCCTCTAGGGTAATTACTAAGTAGAGCTAAAATATAATGCTCGATGTGAAAACCCTTTAAAATTCTGTTCTCTTAGACCCCGAAGGAAGAAAGATGAGCATTATAGAATAATCCCTTGTACCCCCTTTACACTGGACGGCGTCCTTTCTGCGACCATGAAATTTGGCATCGCTGTGGTCTTAATAAAGAGACACGAACATTGATTTTGTATCAGAATGAATGCTCAATGATCGGCCAGTTGTCGGCACGTAAAGTATTATAATTTTTTAACTCTCAAATGGGTCCGTACTGCTGGACGCAGAAAGGACGCCGTCCAGTGTAAAGGGGCCCTTGCCAAGTTAAGTCGGTACTTACCAGAAGTAAGATACAATACAATACAATAAATTTTATTTCATGTCGGGTATAAATTGAAAGGAAACATTAGCTTTACAGCTATTCGCCGACTGGGTAAGGACAAAAACATATCTACAATAATGCAATATTACACATGAAGTCTAGTAAGAGTAAAAAGAAAATCTTTCTACAAAGAGTATACCAAAAGACATAAAAAACAATATACAAAAACATGAATTCTATTAAGATAGCAAATTAGAAAAAAAAGTTTTTTATGGGAAATGTGCAGAATGCTATTCTAAATCAATTGTGAAAAACAGACAATTCTACATCAGGGGCGGATTTAGGCCGTCTTCTGGGTCTTACGGAAGACGGTCAGATTTTCAAGTTTACAATAACGGGTAACTAATTTTTCTGTCGGAAGACGGTCAAAAATGAAGAATGGATCAACAAAGATAATTTGGAAGACTGTCAGAAAATATGTCTGGATCCGCCCCTGCATAGGTATATAAGATGTGCAAGTCGCTGCCTTAATTTTCAGCGTGAACCCCGCTTATAAGCCTGGCATTGGTTGTCGATTTTATTTTTCTATATTCAGCTATTCAGCAATGTTTCAGCTATTCAAATGAATAAGTTTAGGTATTTACTCATTTATTCATTTCACCCTTGGACCTAAATAGAGAAGGTCTCTATTTAGGTCCAAGTTTCACCCCACCCTCGCCTCTGAAATTAATCCCTACTTCTCCCGTTATATTTGAACGCTTATTTTCTTGTAAAACAACATAGGCCTATATAAACATAATTTAGCAATGATCAGATCAATTTATTAGAAAAGCAATGCACATCTAAAATAAGAAAAAACATGAAAATCAAAGCCCTTTAAGTGTTTAGGGAGCAAAGTGCATACCTGTACTGTACAGCGCCTGTAAGCCCCCCCCCCCCAAATTCCC